GGCGCGGGGTGGCTCTTCCCCTTCTTCCCCTCCCCACGAGCCCTCCGGGGACACCCAGACACACAAAAACGACTGGGAGGGGACAGGAAGGGGAGCTTCCCCCCGCCATGCCTGGGTCCCCCGTGGGGGGGAGAGGAGCCCCCCCAGTGCCTGGATCCCCAGTGGAGGGGGTCACGAGGCCAGACCCCGCGTCTGTAAACTGTCCACCTCCTTGTTCTGCTTTAGCTCCTCCATCCTGGGGAAGGGAACATGAATCGGGGAGGGAGACCAGGCTGTGTTGAAACTCTGCCCCCACAGTGTCACGTGTCCCCGACCCCCGAGGATCACCTGTCCCCACCCACCCTCATGTGACACCTCCCAGCCTCAACCCATGTCCCTGTGTTGCCCCCCAAGGTCCCCATTTCCCCTATGTCCAACCCAGTCCTCCACCATGTCCCCTCTCTGTGCCTCTGCAACATCCCCTTACCGGTGGCGGCAGCGCCGCAGGAACCTCATGATCTTCCGGGCTGCCTGGTCCTGCTTGAGGGTGAGGAAGGTGCTCCTGGGGGGAATGGAGGGGGTGGTGAGGACTCCTCTGTCCCAAATACTCTGTGACCCCAGTGTCCCCCAGTGCCCCTGGTCACACCGGTGCTGGCGGAGGCTACGGAAGCGCTGCTGGATGAGCACGGCTGCGCGCCGGCGCCGCTGGAATCGCTTCTGCTCAGCATAGCTCCGGAACTTGCTCTGGATCAGGATGGCGGCCTGCGTCATCCGCTGGAACAGGGCGAACTGGGGGGACAAGGGGACAGCAGTGTCACAGCACCCTCAAACAGGGACTCTGATGTCACCCCAGTGTCCCAGCACCCCCCGTGCCATCCACTCGAACGGGGTGAACTGGGGGGACAGAGGGAGATATAGAGGGGGGCACCCCAAATCCACCCCAGCATCGCCAAGCAAGGACCCCAGGCATCCGGAGCCCTCAAAAGAGTCCCAAAAATCTGGGTGCACCCCCAACACTCCCCAAATGGAACGCTGGTTACCTTCAGAGCGATCCAGGTCAGCTTGTGGGGCAGACAGAGAGGGTTAGGGGGTGTCTGGGGTGCCCGGGAGGTGCTCAGGAGGGGTCCATGGGGCTTTTTGGGCCACCCACACCTCAGTACCTGCTTGTACTTGCGGTAGCAACGCTGGATGACGGCGGCAGCCAGCTCCTGCTGCTCTTTCAGCCTCCGGCCCTGGGGACAGTGAGGTTGGTTGGGGTCAGCAGCGCTAGGGAGGTCCTGGAGGGGCTCTGGGGGGTTTTGGGGTGCCAGGAGTGGGGGTACACACCCGGTACTTGCGGAAAGCGCCCTGGACAAGGCGCGCGGCCTCGTAGAGCTCGTGCTGCTCCTGGTCACTGAGGGTCAGCAGGGCCACGGCCCCCCCCTCGCCCCGCGCTCCCCCTGACGCATTCAGGAACTCAGCCCAGCCCGTGGCTGAAGGGGGGGGCGGCCGCTCGGGGACCCCCGGGGACCCCCGTGAGGCCACCTCCGCTCTGGGGAGCACACAGGACACAGGAGGGTCAGGGGGCGAGGGCTGGTGCCCCACGTGGGGATGGAAGACACGCAGGAAGGAATTCGTGTGTCATGGAAATGTCCCCAAGAGGACACTGTAGTGTCCCAGGAGCCAGGCGATCCCCGCAGTGGGATATTGGGGTTTGGCAGGATGTGGGAGAGCCCCACCATGGAGACACTGGAGTATAATAGGATGTAAAGGACCCTCCCAAAAGGATACTGCATGTCCCAGGCAATGGGACCCCCAAGAGTATCCTGGGGTGCTGCTGGATGGGGGTGACCCCCTCAGAGATCTGAGGGCACCCCTGGACAACCCCCAACCCCAGGAATACCTGTGGGGAGGTGCGGAGGGACGGTCAACGCTCTCCAGGTACGTGGCCAGCCAGGCCATGGCGGCACCAAGTCCTGCTGGCCCAGCTGGCCCCGGTGTCCCCGTCGTCCCCAGGGTCCCCCCTGCTGCTCCCAGTGCCCCTGGTGGCCCCCCTGGTGCCTCCTGCTTGATGCGTTCAGGGGTTGCCTCAATGATCTGTCGTGCCAGCGTCACCACCTCGGCCTGGGGACACGGGACATTGTGACTCTCCTGCACCAATGGTGTCCCCAGCCCTGGCTGTCCCCCACCTTTACCTGCAGGGCGTCAGAGGGTAGGGCCAGGGTATCCTCAGGGGGGCTGGGGGGCACTGCCACCCCCCAGCTCTCATCCTCAGAGGGACCAGGGGGGCCAGGGGGCAGTGGGACGGAACCAGGACCCTCCGAGAGCCCCGATGGGGACGACAGGCTGCTAGCTGTGCTCAGCCCTGGGGACAGGGGGGACATGGCAGGGGGTTTAGTCCTGGAAAGACACACCCCTAGGGGAAGTGGGACATGTGGGACATGGCAAGAGGACAGGGGATACGATGGGGACACATCAGGGACATGAAGAAGCTGGGGAGAACAGAGAACAAGGGTGACATGGGAATGCAAAGGGAAAACAAGAGCTGGGGACAAAGAACATGGAGAGGGAACTTGGCACACCTGGCTACACAAAGATGCTGGGGGAGGACAAGGGACATGAGGGGGACACAGCAGGGAAAGGCTGGAGGGGATGAGTGATGCCCTGGGGGCACACAAAAGGGGACAAGGAGGGAATATGGTGACAGTCACAGCAGTCAGAAGCAGTGAGGGGACACTGAAGGTGGCCACACCAGGCTGGTGATAACCGGGAGCCTGGGACCGGACAGGGACAACAGGACACCGCGCCAGAGGACAGGGAGGGTACAAGGTGCCAGGGCCATACCTGTGTCGGGGCTGGCAGAGAGTGGGGAAGGGATGCGCAGGCCAGACAGGTGACAGCGCGGGGACACGGGTGACACCTGCAGCTCCTCGAGGCGGGTGACCAGGGCCAGGTGGCCCCGGGCACGTGCCAGGGCCAGCGGCAGCCGCCCCAGGGTGTCGGGGACGGCCAGCGCCCGCCGGTCCCAGCGGCACAGCCGCTCCGCTGCCTCCCGGTGCCCCAGGGCACACGCCCACATCTGGGGGCACGGAGGCACGTCTCAACAGGGTGTCCCCAAGGCATCCCTTGTCCCGAGATGCCATCCCTGGTATCCCTCCACCCCATACCCTTGGTGCCGCTGCATTCCCAGCCCTGCCACCCTGTCCCCACTGTCCCCCACCACATCCACAGCACCCTCAACATCGCTGGTGTCCCCTTACCAGGGGGGTGCAGGAGAAATGGTCCACATTGAGGGGGTCGATCTCCTG